TTGAAGATCAAAAAGCCTTTTTAGAATTCTGTGACGATAGAGAAGCCCTCCAAATATCACATGCCGATCGAAAAGCCCTCTGAGGGTTTGTCGACTATCAAGAAGCCCTCCAAGAGTTTCACGACCCTCAAGAAGCTTTCTGAAAGTTTCTCGACAATTGAGATGCCGATCCCAAATTCTTTGACGATCCATAACCCGTCTTAGTGTCACAAGCCGATCAAGAAGCCCTTCGCGCGTTTCTCGACGATCGCAAAGATTTTTAAGCACTTCTCGACGATCAAGAGGCCCTTCAAGCTTTTTTCGACGATTAAAAAGCCCTCCGATCGTTTCTTGACGATAAAAAAGCCTTCCGAGCATTTCTTAAAGATCAAGAAGCCTTCCCAGAAGTCTTTGACGATTGATAAGCCCTGACAATGTCACATGCCGATCGAAAAGCCCTCTAAATGTTTATCAAATGAGTGTTTCTTGACGATCGAAAAACCCTCCGAGAGTTTCTTGACAATTAGAAAGCCTTTCAAGCATTTCTCGAAGATAAGAAAGCCTTTCCAGAATCCTTTGACGATCGATAAGCCCTAAAAATATGAAATGCCCAACAGGAAGCTTTTTAAGTGTTTGTCGACGATCGACAAGCCTTCTAAATATTTTTTAACAATCAAAAAGCTCTCTAAGCGTTTTTCGACGATCGAAAAGCCTTTCCAGAATCCTTTGACGATTAATAACCCTCCAAATATCACATGTTGATTAAAAAGCCCTCCAAGCGTTTTTCGACGATCAAGAAGGCTTCCAAGCGTTTCTCGACGATCAAAAAAACCTCCGAGTGTTTTTCGACGATTGGGAAGCCTTTCGAGCGTTTCTCGACGATAAAGAAGCCATCCGAGCCATTCTCAACGATCAAGAAAACCTTCAAGTGTTTTTTAACAAAAAGGAAGCATTCCGAACATTCTTCGAAGTTAAAAAAGCTTTCCCAGAATCTTTTGACGATTGATGAGCCGTGTTAATGTCACATGCCAATCAAAAAGCCCTCTGAGTGTTTCTCGACGATCAAGAAGCCTTCTGAGCATTCATCGACGATCGAAAAGCCTTTCCAAAATCCTTTTACGATTGTTAAGCCCTCTAAATGTCACATGAAGATCGAGGAGCCCTCTGAATGTTTTTCAACGATCAAGAAGCTCTCCGAGCGTTCCTCGACGATAAGAAAGCCTTTTCAGAATCCTTTGACGATAGATAAGCCCTCAAAATATGAAATGCCGAACAGGAAGCTTTTGAAGTGTTTGTCGACGATCGACAAGCCTTCGAAATATTTTTCAACGATCAAAAAGCTCTCCGAACGCTTCTCGACGATTAAGAAGCCTTTCCATAATCCATTGACGATTAAAAAGCTCTCTGAATGTTTTTCAATGATCGTGAAGCTTTTTGAGCGTATCTCGACGATCAAAAAGCCTTTTCAGAATCATTTGACGATCGATGAACTCTCCAACTATCACATTCCAATTGGAAAGCCCACTGAGAGTTTGTCGACGATTAAGAAAACTTCCGAGTGTTTCTCAACGATCAAGAAGCTCTCCGAGGGTTTCTGGACAATCAAGGAGCTCTCTAAGCGTTTTTCGACGATTAAGAAGTCTCCCCAGAAGTCTTTGACGATTGATAAGCCCTGTCAATGTCACATGCCGATCAAAAAGCCCTCCGTGAGTTTCTCGATAATTGGGAAGCCCTCTGAGTGTTTCTCGACAATCGAGAAGTCTTTCCAGAATCCTCTGACGATTGATAAACTTTCTATATTTTAAATAATGATCGAAAAGCCCTCTGAATATTTCTTATCGATCGAGAAGCTCTCCGAGTGTTTCTCGACGATTGAAAGGCTTTCCGAACATTTCTTAAACATCAAAAAGCCTTTCCCGAATCCTTAAACGATCCATAAGCCCTCCGATAGTCACACGCCAATCCAAAAGCTTTTCAAATGTTTCTCGACGATCAAAAAACCCCCCGAGTGTTTTTCGACGATTGGGAAACCTTCCGAGCATTTCTCGAAGATCGAGAAGCCTTTTCAGAATCCTTTGACGCTCGATAAGCCCTCCCAATGTCACATGCCGATCAAAAAGCTCTCCGAGTGGTTCTCAACGATCAAAAAACTCTCCGAGTGTCTTTCGACGAGTGGGATGCCTTCCGAGCATTTCTTAAAGATCAAAAAGCCTTTCCAGAATCCAGTGACGATAGATAAGCCCTCCAAATATCACATGCCGATCGGACAGCCCTTTGAGGGTTTGTCGTCTATCAAGAAGCCCTTCAAGAGTTTCTCGACGATCGAAAAATGCTCCGAGTGTCTTTCGACGAGTGGGAAGCCTTTCGAGCATTTCTTGAAGATCAAAAAGCCTTTTTAGAATTCTGTGACGATAGAGAAGCCCTCCAAATATCACATGCCGATCGAAAAGCCCTCTGAGGGTTTGTCGACTATCAAGAAGCCCTCCAAGAGTTTCACGACCCTCAAGAAGCTTTCTGAAAGTTTCTCGACAATTGAGATGCCGATCCCAAATTCTTTGACGATCCATAACCCGTCTTAGTGTCACAAGCCGATCAAGAAGCCCTTCGCGCGTTTCTCGACGATCGCAAAGATCTTTAAGCACTTCTCGACGATCAAGAGGCCCTTCAAGCTTTTTTCGACGATTAAAAAGCCCTCCGATCGTTTCTTGACGATAAAAAAGCCTTCCGAGCATTTCTTAAAGATCAAGAAGCCTTCCCAGAAGTCTTTGACGATTGATAAGCCCTGACAATGTCACATGCCGATCGAAAAGCCCTCCGAATGTTTATCAAAGATCGAAAAGCTCTCTGAGCGAATCTCGACGATCAAGAAGCCTTTTGAGAATCCTTTAACGATCGACAAGCCCTCCAAATATTACATGACGATCGGAAAGCCCTTTGAGGTTTTGTCGACGATCAAAAAGCCCTCCAAGTGTTTCTCGACGATCAAGAAACCCTCAGAGTGTTTCTCGACGATTGCAAAGCCTTTCGAGCCTCTCTTGACGATAAGGAAGCCCTCCGAGTGTTTCTTGACGATCGAAAAACCCTCCGAGAGTTTCTTGACAATTAGAAAGCCTTTCAAGCATTTCTCGAAAATTAGAAAGCCTTTCCAGAATCCTTTGACGATCGATAAGCCCTCTCAATGTCACATGCCAAAGCAAAAACCTTTCAAGTGTTTCTTGACGATTGCAAAGCCTTTCGAGCATTTCTCGACGATCAAGAACCCCTCCAAGTGTTTCTCGACGATCAAAAAACTCTCCGAGTGTTTCTCGACGTTTGGAAAGCCTTACAAGCATTTCTCGACTATTGAGAAGCCTTCTTACTTCTTTGACAATTGATAAGCCCTCCAAATATCACATGTTGATCGACAAGCATTTAGAGCGTTTCTCGACGATCAGAAATCCTTCCGAGCGTTTCTCGACGATCGAAAAACGCTCCGAGTGTCTTTCGACGAGTGGGATGCCTTCCGAGCATTTCTTAAAGATCAAAAAGCCTTTCCAGAATCCGGTGACGATAGATAAGCCCTCCAAATATCACATGCCGATCGGACAGCCCTTTGAGGGTTTGTCGTCTATCAAGAAGCCCTTCAAGTGTTTCTCGACGACCGAAAAACCCTCCGAATGTTTCTCGACGATTGCAAAGCTTTTCGAGCATTTCTCGAAAATCAAGAAGACCTTCGAGCGTTTCTCAACGATCAAAAAACCCTTCGAGTGTTTTTCGACGATTAAAAAGCCTTACGAGCATTTCGCAAAGATCAAGAAGCCTTTCTATAATCCTTTGACGATTAAAAAACCCTATAAATGTCACATGCCAATCGAAAAGCCCTCTGAATNGTGTTTTTCGACGATTAAAAAGCCTTCCGAGCATTTCGCAAAGATCAAGAAGCCTTTCTATAATCCTTTGACGATTAAAAAACCCTATAAATGTCACATGCCAATCGAAAAGCCCTCTGAATATTTTTCAACGATCGAGAAGCTCTCTAAGCGATTCCCGTCGATCAAGAAGCTTTTCCAGACTCCTTTGACGATCGATAAGCCATCCAAATATCACATGCCGATCGGAAAGCCCTCTGAGGGTTTGTCAACTATTAATAAGCCCTCCAATTGTTTCACGACGCTTAAGAAGCTCTCTGAGCATTTTTCGTTAATTGAAATGCCTTCTCAAAATTCTTTGACGATCGATGAGCCGTCTAAATGTCACATGCCGATCAAGAAGCCCTTCGCACGTTTCTCGACGATCGCAATGATTTTTAAGCACTTCTCGATGATCAAGAAGACCTTCGAGCGTTTCTCAATGCTTAAAAAGCCCTTCGAGCGTTTCTCGACGATTAACAAGCCTTTCGAGCATTTCTCGAAAATCGAGAAGCCTCCCCAGATGTCTTTAACGATCGATAAGCCATGTCGATGTCACATGCTGATCGAAAAGCCCTCTGAATGTTTCTCAAAGATCGAAACGCTCTCTAAGAAATTTTCGACGATCAAGAAGCCTTTTCAGAATTTATAAACGATCGAGCAACCCTCCAAATGTCACATGCCAATCGGAGAGCCCTCTGAGGGTTTGTCGACTATCAAGAAGCCCTCTAAGTGTTTCACGACCTTCAAAAAGCTCTCTGAAAGTTTCTCGACAATTAAGATGCCTTTCCAAAATTCTTTGACGATCGATAACCCGTCTAAGTGTCACATGCCAATCAAGAAGCCCTCCGCGCGTTTCTCGACAATCGCAAAGATCTTAAAGCACTTCTCGATGATCAAGAAGACCTNGTTTCTCGACGATCAAAAAACTCTCCGAGTGTTTATCGACGTTTGGAAAGCCTTACAAGCATTTCTCGACTATTGAGAAGCCTTCTTACTTCTTTGACAATTGATAAGCCCTCCAAATATCACATGTTGATCGACAAGCATTTAGAGCGTTTCTCGACGATCAGAAATCCTTCCGAGCGTTTCTCGACGATCGAAAAACGCTCCGAGTGTCTTTCGACGAGTGGGATGCCTTCCGAGCATTTCTTAAAGATCAAAAAGCCTTTCCAGAATCCGGTGACGATAGATAAGCCCTCCAAATATCACATGCCGATCGGACAGCCCTTTGAGGGTTTGTCGTCTATCAAGAAGCCCTTCAAGTGTTTCTCGACGACCGAAAAACCCTCCGAATGTTTCTCGACGATTGCAAAGCTTTTCGAGCATTTCTCGAAAATCAAGAAGACCTTCGAGCGTTTCTCAACGATCAAAAAACCCTTCGAGTGTTTTTCGACGATTAAAAAGCCTTCCGAGCATTTCGCAAAGATCAAGAAGCCTTTCTATAATCCTTTGACGATTAAAAAACCCTATAAATGTCACATGCCAATCGAAAAGCCCTCTGAATATTTTTCAACGATCGAGAAGCTCTCTAAGCGATTCCCGACGATCGAGAAGCTTTTCCAGAATCCTTTAACGATCGATAAGCCCTTCAAATATAACATGCCAATTATGAAGCCCTCTAAGTGTTTGACGACGATCAAGAAGCCCTCCAAGTGTTGCTCAACGATCATTGAGCTCTCCTAGCGTTACTTGACAATCGAGAAACCTCCCCAGAATTCTTTGACGATAAATCAGCCGTCTCAATGTCACATGCTGATCAAAAAGCCCTCCGAGCGTTTTTTGACGATCGCAAAGTCTATCAAGCACTTCTTGACAGTCAAAAAGCCCTTCGAGCGTTTCTCGACGATTAGAAAGCCGTCCGAGCATTTCTCGAAGATTGATAAATTTCTCCAGAATTCTTTGACGCTCGATAAGACCTTCCTATGTCACATGCCGATCTAAAAGCCCTCCGTATGTTTCTCGACAATCAAGAAGCCTTCCTAGTGTTTTCCGACGATTGAGTAGCCCTTTGAAAGTTCCTTAACGATCAAGAAGCTCTCCGTGTGTTTTTTAACGATCAAGAAGCCTTTGCAGAATCCTTTGACGATCGATAAGCCCTCATAATGTTACGTGCCGATCAAAAAGCCCTCCGAACGTTTCTCGACGATCGCAAAGCCTCTCGAGCATTTTTTGACGATCAAGAAACCCTCCGAGTGCTTCTCGACAATTGATAATACTTCTGAGCATTTCTCGAAGAACGAGAAGCCTTTCCAGAAACCTTTGACGATTGATAAGCCCTCCCAACGTCACATGCCGATCAAAAAGCCCTTCGAGTAATTCTTGACGATCAAAAAACCCTTTGAGTGTTTCTCGACGATTGCAAAGCCTTCCGAGCATTTCTTAAAGATTGAAAAGCCTCCCCAGAATCGTTTAATGCTCGATAAGCCATTCCAATGTCGCATGCCGATCAAAAAGCCCTCCAAATGTTACTTAACGATCAAGAAGCTCTCTAAGCGTACCTCGACGATCAAGAAGCCTTCTCAGAATCCTTTGAAAATCGATAAGCCCTCTTAATGTTACATGCCGATCGAAGAGCCTTCCGAACGTTTATTGACGATTGGAAAGCCTTGTAAGCATTTCTTGACGATCAAGAAACCCTCCGAGTGTTTCTCGACGATCGAAAAGACCTCTAAGCGTTTTTCGACGATTAAAAAGCCTTTCGAGCAGTTTTTGACGATTAAAAAACCCTCTGAGTGTTTCTCGACGATTAGAAAGCTTTCCGAACATTTCTCGAAGATCAAGAAGCCTTCCTAGAATCCTTTTGGTGATCGATGAGCCTTCCTGATGTCACATGCCGATCAAAAAGCACTCCGAGTGTTTTTTGACAATCGAGAAGCCCTCTGAGTGTTTCTCAACGATAAAAAAGCCCTCTGAGCGTTTCTTAACGATCAAGAAGCCTTTAAAGCCATACTTAACATTCAAGAAACCCTCCGAGTGTTTCTTAAAAATAGGGAAGCATTCTGAACATTTTTCGAGGATCAAGAGGCCTTACCAGGATCCTTTGACGATCGATGAGCCGTCCTAATGTCACATGCCGATCTAAAAGCGCTCTGAGTGTTTTTCGACGATCGAAAAGCCTTCTGAACATTTATCGACGATAAGAAAGCCTTTCCAGAATCCTTCAACGATTGATAAGGCCTTCGGATATCACATGCCAAACAGGAAAACCTCTAAATTTTTTTTAACGATCGAGAAGCTCTCCGAGCAAGCCTTCCCAGAATCCATTGACGATCGAGAAGCTCTCTGAATGTTTCTCAACGATTGCAAAGCCTTCCGAACATTTTTCAACCATAAAGTAGCCCTTCGAGCGTTTCTCGACGATCGAAAAGCCCTCCAAACGTTAATTAAGGATCAAGAAGCCTTTCAAGCGTTTCTCGAAGATCAAGAAACCCTCCAAGTGTTTCTCGACAATTGGAAGGCCTTCCGAGCACTATTAGACTATCGAAAACCCTTCCTAAAATCCTTTGACGATAAACAAGCCCTCCAAATATCACATGTTAATCGAAAAGCCCTCCAAGCGTTTTTCGACGATCAAAAAGGCTTCCGAGCGTTTCTCGACGACCAAAAAACCCTCCGAGTGTTTTTCGACAATTAAAAAGCCTTCCAAACATTTCGCAAAAATCAAGAAGCCTTCCTATAATCCTTTGGCAATTAAAAAGCCCTATAAATGTGACATGCCAATCAAGAAGCCCTCCAAGTGTTTTTCAACGATCAAGAAGCACTCCAAGTGTTTCTTGACGATCGAGAAGCCTTCTGAGCATTTTTAGACGATCAAAAAGCCTTCGCATAATTCCTTAACGATTGATAAGCCCTCCAAATGTCACATGCCGATCGAAAGGCCCTTTAACTGTTTCTTAACGATCAAAAAGCCCTCCGAGTGTTTCTCGACGATTGGAAAGCCTTTCGAGCATTTCTTGAAGATCGAAAAGCCTTCTCAAAATTTTTTGACGATCAAAGAGCCCTCTTAATGTCACATGCTGATCAAAAAGTCCTCCGAGTGTTTCTCGACGATCGAGGAGTCCTCTAAAGGTTTCTTGATAATCAAAAAGTCCTTCGAGCTTTTCTCGACGATCATAAAGCCCCTCGAGAGTTTCTTGTCGATCAATAAGCCTTCTGAGCGTTCCTCCACGACAAAAAAACCCTCCGAGTGTTTCTCGACGATTAGAAAGCTTTCTGAACATTTCTTGAAGATCAAGAAGCCTTCTTAGGATCCTTTGACGATCGATAAGCCTTCCCAATGTCACATGCCAATCAAAAAGCCCTCCGAATGTTTTTCAACGATCGAAAAGCTCTTTGAGCGTATCTCGACGATCGAAAAGCTTTTTCAGAATCATTTGACGATTGATGAACCCTCCAAATATCACATTCCAATCGGGAAGCCCTCTGAGAGTTTGTCGACGATCGAAAAGTCCTCCGAGTGTTTCTCAACGATCAAGGAGCTCTCCAAGCGTTTCTCGACGATTAAGAAGCCTTCCCAGAATCTGTTGACGATCGATAAGCCCTCTAAATGTTACATGTCGATCAAGAAGCCCTCCGAGAGTTTTTCGATGATTGGGAAGCCCTTAAAGTGTTTCTCGACAATCGAGAAGCCTTCTGATCGTTTCTCGACAATTGAGAAGCCTTTCGAGCATTTCTCGACAATCAAGAAGCCATTCCAAAATCCTCTGACGATCAATAAGCTTTCTAAATTTTAAATGCGGATTGGAAAGCCCTTTGAATGTTTCTTATCGATCGAGAAGCTCTCCGAGCGTTTCTCGACGATCGAGAGGCCTTTTCAGAATTCTTTGACGATCAATAAGCCCTAAAAATATCACAAGCCGATCGGTAAGCCCTCTGAGTGTTTGTCGACGATCAAGAAGCTCTCTGAGCGATTTTCGACGATCGACAAGCAGTCCTAAAATCCTTTGACGTTCGATGAGCCCTACAAATGTCACATGCCGATCGAGAAGCCCTCCGAATGTTTCTCAACGATCGAGAAGCTCTCTGAGTAATTCTCGACGATTGGGAAGCCTTCCGAACATTTTTTGACGATCAAAAAGCAGAATCCTCTGACGATCAATAAGCTTTCCAAATTTAAAATGCCGATCGAAAAGGCCTCTAAATGTTTCTTAACAATTGAGAAGCTCTCTGAATGTTTCTCAACGATCGAGAAGCTCTCTGAGTAATTCTCGACGATTGGGAAGCCTTCCGAACATTTTTTGACGATCAAAAAGCCTTCCCAGAATCCTCTGACGATCAATAAGCTTTCCAAATTTAAAATGCCGATCGAAAAGGCCTCTAAATGTTTCTTAACAATTGAGAAGCTCTCTGAGCGATTTTCGACGATCAAGAGGCCTTTCCAGAATCCTTTGACAATCGATAAGCCCTCCAAATATTATAGGCCGATCGGGAATTCTTCTGAGTGTTTGTCGACGATCGAGAAGCCCTTCGAGTATTTCTCCACGATAAAAAAGCTCTCCGAGTGTGTCTCGGCGATTAGGAAGCTTTTCAAACATTTCTCGAACATCAAGAAGCCTTCCCAGAATCCTTTGACGATCGATAAGCCTTTTCAATGTCACATGCCGATCGAGAACCCCTCCGAGCGTTTCTCGACGATCGCGAAGCCTTTCGAGCATTTTTCGACGATCAAGAAGCCCTTTAAACGTTTCTAGACAATCGAAGAGCCTTTCGAGCATTTCTCGACGATCAAGAAACCCTTCGAGTGTTTCTTAACGATCGAGAAGCCCTCCAAGTGTTCTTCGACGATTGAGAAGCCTTCTAAGCGTTTCTTGACGATTGGGAAGCCTTCCGAGCATTTCTTGACGATTGAGTAGCCTTACCAGAATCCTTTGACGATCGATAAGCCCTCCAAATGTCACATGTCGATCGAGAAGCCCTCCGAGCGTTTTTCGACGATCGGGAAGCCTTCCGAGCATTTCTCGACGATTGAGAAGCCTACCTAGAATCCTTTGACGATCGATAAGCCCTCCAAATATCACATGCTGATCGGGAAGCCTTCCGAGTGTTTGTCGACGATCGAGAAGCCCTTTGAATGTTTTTCATTGATTGAGAAACTTTCCGAGTGTTTTCCGACGATCGAGAAGCCCTTCGAGTGTTTTTCAACGATCGATAAGCCCTATGAGCGTTTTTAGGTGATCGGGAAGCCCTCCGAGTGTTTCTCGACGATCGAGAAGCCTTCTGAGCGTTTTTCGACGATGAAGAAGCCTTTCCAGAATCCTTGGACAATCGATAAGCCCTCAAAATGTAAAAATACACAAAACGCAGAAACATTATATTTTGCCACTAGGTCGTAAATTAAGACTAGCGTCATCGATGGACGCGAACGCGTTTATGGTATGTTCGTTGGTGCCTGAGTAGAGAGCGATGCTTTTCGCACCGGGGGAGCAAAAAATGCAGGTTCCCGCTACACGAAGCAAAGCTACCTTTTAATTATCGCAGCAGCACGAAAAATTGTATACGCTTAAGTAAAGAAAATAATAATACCTCAGATCGTCAGTTTAACACTCTTGGCTTTGTCTTGGGCTGCAAGACACTTGCAATCTAGAGCTCACCTCATGTATTCACCATAAGTGCGTGACATACAATTTCATCCGGAGAGAGTAAAGTACTGTACCTTTCTAGGGGGCTGTTATACGTAGACACTA